ATACTAAAGATAAATCCAAACTATTCCTCATACCTATTACATTTCGTTGATAGCTCGGTTGATAGGTAAATAACAGGAGTTAGGTGCCGATAACAGTTGTCTCGATATTATGATTGATGGATTGGTCAGTTCTTTGTAGAAACTCTCTTTTATTTTCCCATGAGAGATAGACTGTATATGAACATCATTCGATATGGGGTCATCCTTATACATGCGCGATCAATGACAAAGAATATGAAACCGGAAAAAGTGTGCTACTTTCACATGAACTATTCAAGGCTCTGATGAATGAACGCATGAAGGCTTCAGATCGTTATGGCCGAGTTATCACCAAAACAAACGATGGAATAGTACTTGTCGTATTCATTCATTGAGTATGCTTCGATTTAAAGGATCCGAGATCATCACATTAGGAATTGACACATGATATAACTCAATGTCAGAAAATATCATCACCTTCGAAACTCGAAACCCTGGCTCGAGCCCTGGGCTCAACAATCACTGTTCTAGATAGATAGATAGATAGATAGATAGATAGATAGATAGATATTATTTGACCACGATATGTTACATACAGGGCTTTCATTTCAAAACTTACCACCCTGAATATCTCTTGATCTGCGAAGATTACAGTTTTTGGAAAAATAGGTCGATTTAGGTATCGAGGGGGAAGTAGAATCCCAGTATCAATTGAATTCTATGTTCATCCCCTTCACCCCCAGACACCCCTACTTTGAAATCTCAAATGGCACCCCCTACTTTGAGATACAAAAAATTGAGGGTCTATCAATGATCAAATCAACCAGATGAAAAATTATTTATTTCGTATACAGATATACGATGAATATACAGGGTGATTCACATAAGAACTGACATAGAGCAGGGGCATGTAGGAGGTCCCAAAATATGGCAATTTAACGCAACTTACCAAAAGTTGCTTCCCTGAGGAGATATAGGCTTTGAAAATGAAGTTATAAATTTTGAAAAAAATCAATATCTTCGTTATTCTTGAACTTGAAGCAACCAAATTTGTTACACTTTGTGGATGTATTTATGGCGTTACTTGACAGTAACTGGAGTTTAATTGAAATTTGTAAAGGGGGTATACCGGGTGGCGCACCAACAATATTCAACATAATTTTATTAACCCTTGATGGATTTTGAAAAACTTTGCTTTGTTTTGTGGGCAATTTAATTCTGAAACTTTTCTTACTCTTGTAATTTTTCGAAAAACCTCATCATTTTCATCAAAAACTCGAATAACTGAAAACGCGCGCTCTAGGTGTGTTATTTAAAATCATCGAAAATTCAAAAGTTGGCTATGAAAATAAACGTCAAACTTGACAATGAGGCAAGTGAGTTGTTCAATTAAGTAATTGTTGTTTGAGTGTTTTTAAAATGAACGGGAAGTTTTCTTTTAACGAGCAAGTTGACATGCTGTTAGTGCTATGCCTATAACTCCTTAGGGAAGTAACTTGGTATAGAGGTAAGTTGCGTTAAATTGCCATATTTTGGGACCCCCTACATGCCCCTGCCCTATGTCGGTTGTTATGTGAATCACCCTGTATATAAATAAATATACACATTCAGAGAGAAAGACTACAATACATATGTATGATATGTTGAATTCAAAAGGTGTTAGGGGTATCATCGAGTCGAGATTAAAATTGATACTTTCTCCAATAGAGTAAAAACAGTGAGCCAACAGATGATTTTTTATGCCTATTTTGAACTGGTTGAATCTCAATGTTTTTTTGCGCTGGTAGTGTGTTGAATAAGTGTATATGCAAGGAGTCTTGCTGAGAGACTGATAGTCTGTATTTGAGACGTCTGAGTTCATTAGAAGCCCCAATAGGATAACTGTGGATTTCATCATTTGTTACAAGCTTTCCTATTGTAGAGTACACCTCTAATAAAATTTGATAGATAGTGATACAGGAAATTGTCATAATTTTGTATTTTTCAAATAGGGGCTGGCAATGCGCACTGTAGTCGGCATCATCTAGGATCCTGAGTGCCTTCTTTTGTGTTTTAAAGACTTCCAATGAGTGTGTTGAATTACCCCATAGGATTTTACCATAATTGAGGTGCGAATGAAACAATGAATGATATGTGCTCAATAATATTTGACGACTCAGAATTTTTTGAAGTTGTCTTAAGAGATATGGTTGAGTGAAAAGCTTTATGCATAATTGATCTGCATGAGCAGCGCATTTCAACCTATCATCTAGAACTATTCCAAGTAGACTGACTTAATTACCAGTTATTGTGAGAGGAAAAACAATTTTTCTGAGTTTTATCTCGGTTTAGTTTTAGGTAGTTTGAAGTAAACCAAGAGTGAGCTTTATTGTTGGGAAAGGCCTTTATTAGTGAAAATATTCAAGAAAGAAGAGAAGAAAACCCATGACCAGGAGATCCAAACTTCATCTTGAGGAGGGAGGAGTTACGTGTATGGAAAATGTGTACGAGCCAAGAAAACTGCTGATGCTGTCAGAGATAATAAGCCCCACTCGACCAGATATGATTTGAATTGTTACAATTTTATAATTGAATCAATTTTGTCCTAGCTTTTGTGATGAGCAGTTGCTTTGAGAAAGTGAAACTATTTTCAAAAAGCCTTTTCGTCTTTGAACAACTAAAACTGGCGCAGTCGGTAGGATTTCCGAAAGTTGACCGTATCGAACGAGCAATTTCGAAAAAGTTCGGTAGTGAAAGACTTATTCGAATGCATATCTAATCGTGGAACGAACAGTAAGTGGTGAAGTTCCAACTTTTCGAAAACGGACTCCGAAAAAAAGTTCAAGCGTCGTCAAGAGTAGTTGTCATTGCGAACCCAAGGCAACAATTCAACCAGAAAGGAGAATAATTGGAGACTACAGCATTTCGAAGTCTCGAAACTCAAGTGCCCAATTTTTTTTTGTCTCTCCTGAACCCTCTGTATAAGGATTCCAGCTCGGATTTCAGTGGATATAGTTAAGGCTAGAATTAGGGCAAGTCGTCGAACAAGTAACAAATAAGGACGTCCTCATCATACCCGCCAAGGAAGAAAGGATATTTTCCAAGTGCAAAACAGACCAATACATAGAAATCAAGCTTCCAACTCTAGTCAAGATTCCAGAATCCTTCATCGAGTAATAATTGTCTTCGATCCACATTAGTTGAGGAATATATTCTTTCAACCAGCTGCGCCAGAAGCAATCTGTGATTTTCTCCAATGTTTCTTCAGATTTCTCCCATCTTCGAATGACTTCATTATATCTTCAGGCACTTCGTCGCCAATAGATTTCCCCAAAATAAAATGATTCGGTGTCAATCGTTCTGGATCGTCTGGGTCCACTGACACATGTGTGATCGGCCTACAGTTGATCATGTCCTCCTTGAGAGTCTAGTTGTTCAGGATCACTTGGAAAGTCTTTTTTACTGATTGTATTAGTCTCTCCCAGGTCCCCCCCCACGTGCGGTGCTCCTGGAGCTATGAACCTTCATTCCATTCCTTCCAGTCCAAGTTCGGAGAGGGTGGTTTAGAAATCGGTGTCACAACTCTTACGGCTGGATAAAGGCTTTCCACAGATTTCACACTTTTACATTCTGAAGATTCAGCAATTTCCTGCTGGTTGAAGTCGTGTTCCATACGGAGTATTCTCAATTGATTCTCTAATTCCAGTTTCTTCATTTCGATCTCATGTTTCGCCTTTTCCATGCTGAGAGCTAACTCTCGTCTTGATCTCATGATTGAACTGGTCGTATAGGGTGACCATAAATGTCCCCCCCCTCTAGCTCAGTTATTTTTAAACCGATTTCAAAATTTGAAAATTCATCTTGAATGATTATCGATAAAGTTTTTTCCGCTACATCAGAAAATACAGGGTGCTCGGAACAAACGATTTACAGGGTACTATTTGATTTTTTTATATGGAACACCCCATTTTTCATTGTATTTTTAGATTCTCCCTGAAGAGCTTATTTGGTCAATTTATCACACTTGGGGTCTAGCGGGAATGATTACAGAGATATAGGGTGTTCAAAATCGAGATTTTTCAACTTTAGGATTTTTTTGAGACGATACTATTCATCATGACCGATGATGGCTTTCATGTCCATATCTTAACTTTTGATTTACTATCTACTGACATTTGATAATTGGAACAGATACAGGGTGATCAGAATTCTGAATCTTGAACCACCCTGTAAATGTTCCAATTAAATGTCACTAGACAGTGAATCAAAAGTTAAGATGGAAACATAGAAGCCGTTTCAACCAATAATGAATAGTTTCGAGACAAAAAAGTCCTAAACTTGAAAAATCTCGATTTTGAACACCCTATATCTCTGTAATCATTCCCGCTAGACCACAAGTGTGATGCATTGATGAAATCAGCTCTTCAGGAAGAATACAAAAATACAATGAGATACAAGGTGTTCCATTTGAAAAAATCAAGTAGTACTCTGTAGAATATAGATCATTTGTTCCGAGCACCCTGTATTTTCTGATGCAACGGGGAAAAAAATTCTGAAAAATCATTTGATTATTTTTCAAATTTTTGAATCGGTTCAAAGATAAGTGAGCTTGAGGGGCGGACATTTATGGTGAATCACCCTGTACATGTCTTGATTTTTGGGAAACGGTCTCAATACTACGTCAACTTATTATTGGATTCTGTACATCATACATGTCAATTTTTCTTTGGGATGGTATATTGTCCTGGATGGATGGTTCTGATATTCATGAAACTTGATTTGGTCTATCATTAGAAGGGTTGTCTACCCCATAATGTGTTGGCCATACGAAATCTCTATCCAAATGTTGGTTGGTTCGTGCACCTGGTAGTTTTTATTGAAAATATATAAAACTCGCTAATAATTGACACTGAGTGACAAATCAAAATTGTTATTATTTTTGTACTTACTCCCCGGACTAGGCCGGAAAAATACTACTTTCCCGAAAAACTTGTTTTCACATGATATTCCATGATAATAAGATATTTTGTGTTATTTTTCAGACGTTCCGTCGGATGGCCCTGAATGAGCAACGCGAGCGGAGGTACCGTCGAAGTCGATGGCAGGGCGGTGTTGCAGCTGGCGGCAGCCGAGGGCGACGAAGAGGCGGTGCGGCTCGCGCTGGCCAGAGGAGCGAACGTCAACAGCCAGGACAGCGTGGTGAGTATACGATCAGAGAGTGCTCGACCCTGATTGGGCATTCACGAGTCTATTACTAGAAAATGCAAAAAACATCGTAAACCTAAAAAATCTACATAAACTGGCATTTTTTTCAATGGAACACCCTGTATTTTATTCTTCTGAACCGTAGAGCTCTTTTCTTTGATTTGAAATATATACATATACTTTATCTTTTGTCAGTTTTGGAGAAATATAGACTTCTTGGTACCTATAGATCTAAGGCAGGTTCCGAAACGCCAGACAAGAATGCTGCGATTTCTGGCGTTCCACAGCTGCCTTAAAATCTATATCTTTCGAATTCTGTCCAAGATAAACTTTATAAAGTATACATATTTGAAATCAGAAGAGGGAAATGAAATACAGTGTTTTCCATGTAATTAATACCAGTTTATGTAAAATTTTCAGGTTTATGAATCTTCTAGTAATAGATTCCGAATGCCCTTAAAAAATACTCCATTCTTGTCCATTTGATCGTTTCTGTAAGACCAATATTAACTGAGATAGCGATTGAGTAAAATATAAACATTCACCCTGTACATTGCATGCACTTTTAATGCTGAATCAGAATTTGAGCCCAGAATTTCAGAATTTAAATCAGGAGCGTACAATGTAAAGGTTAAAAACGATGATCTGAATATTCTAGATTTTTCTGTCGCTTCATTGTTCAGAAAATTGTGTTGCCGAGCCACACTATACGAGTCCGTCAGGACGAGTGGTATTGAGTTAAAAATTGAGTTAACAATGAGTTAACAATGAGATACACAATTAGGAGAAGATATTCAGAACAGAGTGTGGTATTTTGCTAAACTTTTCGCGAAGTATTAGAAGCATTAATTATAAATGAACAAGCCATATAACCAAAGCGATTCATTCTGACATCTACAGCTATAGTTATCATATGCCAAACCAACAGATTTTTCTTTGCTAGCCATGATTACATCGTTGAAAACACCAACGCTGATGGTAGACCAATCAGGATTGAAAGACTGCTAGTATTTTCGCGATAATACAAGTTGCATCTGGCTTGCGATTAGTCAGATTATGTTAGAATTTTGAGATGAGTAAAATGGTCACTGATATTCTGGTAAAAAGGTGCATACGTTTTTGAATGTATGACGAATTGATATCCATCATACAGGACGTGGAAAGAAATTCTGAATTGAGTTTTCATCGTTCAAGTTTGAACCCATTGATTGAGTGAAAGGATTGAAAAGGAATATTTTCAAATAAATTGTGAACATGAAAATATGGATAAATACATGTAAAGGAATACATTGAGAATTCGCATTCTTCAGGTGATGAAAATATCAATTCTTTCTCAGTTTATTCAACAGGAAACAACTACTTTCCTGCGATGAAAATATGTATATTCACACATAATCATTCTGGATATTCAAGAGAAAACAACTACTATCCTTGCTATTTGCCATGTCGAACATTGAATTATATCTGTCGAACATCCAAAAGGAGAGCATAAAAAAAATCCTCTGAAATTGAGAATTGACATTATCCCTCAAATCGGATAATTGATATGATGTATTATGATATAGAAATATAACTTACTGATATCTAATATGTTCAGGATTGAAATGAAAATTGAAACGTATAGGAGAAGTATACTTGTACAAACTCTGATCTTGATGAACATGAAACTAAAAAAAAATCATTCGTATCAGTGAAATGGGAATTATGTCTCTCACAAACAGGTTATATGACTTTATTCGGATGAACTCATTTAAGATTCCAAACCCTCCTCCGTAACCTGAAGTCCATTATTCTTTCAGCCATTCTTCATGGTATACACAATTCTCATCTCTCTATAATATAGCTAAAAATATAACAAACTGAAGCTGAGAATTATTTGTTGACATTCAATCCCTGGCATCTGGTTGTTCTTGTTTTTGGCTGTATGATAAATTGATATTCATCCTACAGGACGTGGAAAGAAATTTCCATATCACTGATACTAATTATTTTTTTCGAAGTTTCATGCTCATCAAGATCAGAGTTTGTTCAAGTTCTATACATTTCAATTTTCATTTCAATACTGAACATATTGGTAAGTTGTAGTTTTATATCATAATACATCATATTAATTATCCGATTATTTTTCATACTCTCCTTCTGGATGTTCAACAGATATAATTCAATGTTCGATGTGGCAAATAGTCGGAAGGTAGTTGTTTACTGTTGAATATTCAGAATGATAATAAATGTGCACATACATATTTTCAACTGAAGGAGAATACAAATTCTCAACTTCAGAAGATTTTGTTTTCAAATTCTAATCGCGTATGTTCAATAGATATAATTCAATGTTCGTAGTGGCATATAGCCAGGAAAGTAGTTGTATTCTGTTGAATGAACCAAGAAAAACTTGATAATTTCATCACAGAGAATGCGAATTCCTCTTTATGTATATATCTATTTTTTTATGTTCATAATTTATCTGAGAATATTCCTTTTCAACTAAGAGTATGTACCGTGCATGGTACATACTCTTAGTTCATATCGTAGGATAGGAGTTTTCGAAAAATAGTTATTCATTACACAAGGGAAAAAAGTAGTAGATTTTAGCTCCAGGTTGTGTGTGAAAATTCAAGATGGTGGATCCAATATGGCGGATGAGTTTTGTAATTATGATCCGATTCTACTCAAAATATGTATTTCAACATGGCGGATCTAATATGGTGGACGAGTTTTGTAAATTTATAATCCGATTCTATTCAAAGTTGGTATCTGGGGCTTAACGATGTCGGAGATTATGATTGTCTCGCCAAATAATGAAGAATAAATAGTTGTTTTAAAAACTGAAGAAACATCCTTTTATAGATAGTACTAGAAAGAAGTAGAACATAAAGTAATAAAAGTGTGTTGATAATAAATACACAACATAGAATCGCATAGAATGTACTGATTTGGGATATGCTAATATTTTCTATGTTGTGTATTTATCAACACACTTTCATTATTTCATTTTCTATACTTCTTTTTAGTTTGGCTATCTATAAAAGGGCGGTTCTCTAGTTTTCAATCTATTATTTATTTCCTTATGAATAAATGTAGAGGTTGTTTAATACACAGAGGGCCCTGTATAACCCCGTTTCGAGTACTCATATACATCTCTCCATATTGAGAGTTCTTCGGACATTTATATTCTGACGAAGTCCGCAATTGGCTAGATTTACAATAATTGGTTTCCTTTCGTTCTACTACGATGATGTGTAGACATTGAAAAATGTTTCTGAGAATAACCCGAGAGCATTAATCTTTCCACAAGAAACTACGAATTTGAAAGTGAATTATGCCCGCTAATTATTCACTCCAAGAGAATACAAACACTGAATGTTATTTGTAAACTTCTGGAAAAATAATTGCCAAAGTGAAATCTACTACTTGAAAGTGAAACGATAATAATACGACTGAGTAAATATCGACAAAAGTGATATACATTAGAACAAACTATGGAGTTTTCTTCGAAATTCCGAGTTATAATTGAGAATTTCGAAATTCCGAGTAATAACTTGGAATCGAATATTCCGAGTTTTAACTCGGAAGTTACAGGTCGGAATTTCGATGTAAAATTGATTGTAAAAAACTTCACAAACGATAATATTTCCACAATAGCTATTTGTGTATTTAGAGCGCCAAGTGATAGATTGCCGCTCGACAAAGAAAGTTACCGCGCGATGCGGAGCGGAGCGCGGCAAGATTTTTTCTACTAACGCAGCTTTTGGAAATATCTGCCCTGAAAGTTTGAGCGATTGAAATAGTTCTTATCCATATTATCCCATATGTCCAAAGAGAACAAAAAAATAACTGATAAGCCAGAAAAAAAAATGTCGGGCCTAACGAGAATTGAAACTGGACCACCAGCGTGGCAACCTGAGCTTCAGACCTCTGAGCCATAGTACAATAAACTCTGCAATCAAATTGAACATTTCTCATATTGATGCAATAAAAGGTAAAAGTGCACTTATCATGCGATGGGGTTTTTTTCGAAAATTTTTTTTGGTACTTACGTATTTTCGTCTGAAAAACTCGAATTTCATAATGAAAATGTGAACAAACCACTATTTATCGAGATATTTCACTATAAAGTTACAAATTTCACCATCTTTTCCGCCTGTCTTCTGGATCACATTTAGAACAATTTGCCCTTCTTTTTTCATCATTGGACAATTTATATATATCACACAATGTTGGACACATTTTTTTTATTATATGAGTCAACTAGAAATATGATTTTCTTGTGATTTATCCATGTTTAGTGAAAAGAAGGAAGAATGTAATTTGAAATAATGGCGTGTGTATAATGTCATTCCAAAGCAATCTATTGACATTTGACATCTCGTATTTGGATTGCATATGGATAAATGGCCGTCATCTGGTATGCTTGCTCACTAAATAGGAAAAACTCGCCATAATAGTTATTTATGTATTAAGGGAATTATGAGGGCCTTAATTACCGATGGCAAAGTTTGCGTCCCGAGGGCCTCTGGCCCGAGGGACAGCAATTGCCAGAGGTTATTAAGGCTCTATAATTCCCGTGATACATAGATAATTTTATTTCTGACTGATTTCATTCATTAGATACCTTCCCGATTGGAAGTTAGACATGTTTTTCCGTATAGTTTCAATGTCATCAGAACGTCAGATGATGATCTTGACTACCGCGAATAGGAGATTCCTTATTGCTACGTTATTGCGTGGTTGTTGCTATGCATTTCTTATTTAAGTTCAGCTAAAGGGAATTATAGCATCTATAACATCCCAAGGGAGTTCATTCCTTGCTCGCACAAGACTCTCGAAGACTTCTGAGGGTTGCTCGTAAGGGGGCAACCGAATGACGGATAGAACAATTTTTTTAGTTATGACCCTCCTAATTGATAGTGTAACTAAGATGATACAAGCTTATAATATACCAGTCAGAAATAAAAATCATTTTTCCTGTTGAATTTTTTATCTTAAAATGTGTC